GCACATTTAAAAAAATTAATATATTATTATCAATTAGATATTAAATTAAAATATTAATAAAGTACAACTTTGCTTCCGCCGTTTTCCTATAGATGGCTTTAGCGGTAAGTGGTGGTCGAAATAAATAGATCATAGACGTCATACAATAAACTTGGGCATCTGTCAACATAACCCCATAGAAACATAAGTCGATTTGTGTCTGCATCATAAAGTTATTCTCGATTGAAAATGTCAGTTTACGAGCCAAATTCTCGTCATTTGCGGGAGGTTTTAATTTTTTGCTTCAATGAAGAAATCTGCGGCTGAAACTCATCGAATGCTCTCAAATACTTATGGTGAGGCCGCTATTAGTGAAAGAACGTGTCGTGAGTGGTTTCAACGCTTCAAGAACGGCGATTTTGACGTCAAAGACCGGCATAGGTGGAAGAGAGAAGGTTTTCGAAGATGCAGAATTGGAGGCATTAGTTGAGCAAGACTCGTGTTAAAATCAAGAAGAATTGGCATGATCATTGGGAGTGACACAACAAGCCATTTCAAAACGCCTCAAAGCCATGAGAATGATTCAGAAGCAAGGAAATTGGGTGCCGTACGAATTGAAGCCGAGAGATGTTGAACGGCGTTTGTTTGCTTGTGAACAGCTGCTTGAAAGGCAAAGACGGAAGGGATTTCTGCATCGCATTGTGACTGGGTTCATTACGATAATCCCAAGCGCAAAAAATCATGGGGAGTTCCCGGCCATGCTTCCACGTCGACGGCCAAACCGAATGTTCACGGTTCCAAGGTCATGCTCTGTATTTGGGACCAGCTCGGCGTAGTGTATTATGAACTGTTAAAACCGACTGAAACAATCACAGGCGATCGGTATCGAACGCAATTGATGCGTTTGAGCCGAGCATTGAAAGACAAACGGCCGCAATACAACGAGAGACACAATAAAGTGATTTTGCAGCATGACAATGCTCGACCTCATGTTGCGAAAGTGGTCAAGATATACTTGGAAACGTTGAAATGGGAAGTCCTACCCTACCCGCCGTATTCTCCAGACGTTGCTCCCTCTGACTATCACTTGTTTCGATCAATGGCACACGGCCTGGCTGACCAGGCTTTCCGGTCTTATGAAGAAGTAAAAAATTGGATCGAAAAATTGGATAGCCTCAAAAGATGACCAGTTTTTCGACGCGGGATTCGTACGTTACCCGAAAGATGGGAGAAAGTAGTGGCCAGCGACAATACTTTGAATTATAAATGTATAACCAGTTTTTTTACAATAAAGCCTCGAATTTCGGAAAAAAAACAGCGGAAGCAAAATTGTACACCTAATGAATAATATTTGTATAAAGATGACGTAAAAACATAGGTTTATAAAAAATAGGTTTATAAATACACTTGCACTATACTTATACATAACAAATATTATACTTATACATAACAAATAACAAATATTTTCTTCTATATTTATTAAACGTAATAATCATAACTTTTTCATATAAGGTTTAAGTACTACATATTGACTTTAATTACACAGTCAAATTGTACATTTGAAATAAATTATTTATATATTACTAATTTATATGTTACTATTACACTAAATAATCTTAAACATCTTAAACATATAAATAACGGTATGATACGGTACAAATTTGAGACAACAATAAGAATAAATCTAATTAAATAAGAGACATCCTACACATATTTGATCAAAACAGAGCTTAGTACTTAGCTTTTATTACTGCCGCACATTTGACTGACCATTTGGTGGCCAAAATTATTTTTGTAGTTTAAGTGGAACTAAACGTGCCATTTTACTAATTCATTGTTCACTAATTCATTTAACTATTTAATTATTCTCTTTAATTATTCTCTTAATTAAAACGTAAGTTTAAGCTTAAAATGTATATATAATAATATCAGCTCGAATCATTATTTTGATCTTCAGTGACTTTAAAATAAAATTCAAACAATTGAAACCAAAAATAAACATAAAGAGTTCAGAAACTAATATTTTAATAAATTTATATTGACTATACGGAAAACTGATTGAATTAGAAACCTTCGTCTTTTTATTAAAATTTAAAAAATTATTGAAGAATAGAGAAATACTACTAATATCATCAAGTTTGTTAAAATTGGCCGAAGAAAATAACAATTTTTTCGAAACGCTTTAGCTTGAAAAAGCAACACCAGGTGTCGGGAATTTTAATGCGCTTTTTATGGTTGTTCTTGAGCGAAAAAAAGATATGTGTCCAGCTATTTCAACCATTGGTCCATAGTTTTTTCAAAGAAATCGACTTTTTAAATAATTATTGTAATAATTTAAGAAACGTACTGTATAGAAAAATGTCAATACCTTTATAAATTTCATTTTATTTCATCGAATGTTAAGGATAAAATTACACCAGATAGATGATTCTGATTCGGATGATGATTCTGAACACAGCAAGTAGATCACGCGCCAGTCGTAATGTTGCTCACTTCAGTAAGCATTCGACTCATTCGCGTGCGCAGCGATTCTCTGAACTGAAGAAATATTTTAATAAAATTTACCAGCCAATTACCAATTACCAGCAATTGGAAAACAATAGAAATGTTCATGATGAAATCGCATATGCTAAAAGAGTGGAAAATGCAATTATTGATGCAAGATAACATTTTTGTCAAACCTACTCATTCAAACATACTCATTTTATCACAATTCATATTCATTACATCCAAGAATTACACTTGAAACTATCCTAAATAAAAAATATTTACTGTTGGAAAGATACTATGAACGCCAAGAAAAAATACGTCTAACTATCAAATAGGGTTCGACTATTGGGCTGATCGCTTTATGCGCAACAAGAACATAATCAATCCTTGTTATCAATTGTAAATCAATTGTTTTCTTACTTTTCAGCTTTATTAAGTAATATTTATTTTCAATCTGGAGTGAGTTTTAAAAATCGATTTTTGGCCACCTAAATTGAATAAATACTCCACTGTGGCCATTTCAGCCATATGGCGTCATACGATTCACTCTTACACATCAAACAATGTATAGTAGACATATACAGGGTCTCAAAAAGATCGGGACACCTGAATATCTCGGAAAAAAATTTTACAGAAAATTGTTTCAGGCAAATTGTAGAGTTCATAAAGATCTATTTACTGATCAGTTTTATCTTGGGTCGCCAAAGTCAGTAGCAGGAGATCTAAACGTTATCGTTGATTATCGCTATTGCGACAGTCAAACAGGACAATCCTGAAAGAAAGCTCAATTCTTATTGGCTATCGCTTAACGATAGCAACAATTGTAATAAAACATTTAGAGCAATAGATCAAAATCACATCGATTTTTTTTAAATGGTATATCTTATTTTTATTCCAGACTCTAATAGCTAGTGTCAAGAGTTTTTTAAAATACAATAAAGTTATTTTTCATAAAGTATTTTTCGAGTCATAAAGCTCGAAAGTTACATTATCGTCGGCATTAACATTACGCAAGGTGTCCGACCGACAGTTAAAATCTCTTGAATATTGTTCAGGATCATGTATTGAATAACATTTATTAAAATTAAGGTCACATTGTTTCTTTTATTTATATTTTATATTTTTATATTAAAATAAATTTTCAATGAAAATAAGAGAAATAAGAGAAAACTCTCCAATGACCTTGATCATAACAAATGTTATCCAGAACATGATCTTGAATAATATTCAAAAAGTTTCAGCCATCAATCGGACATCTTGCGTAACGCTAATGCGACGGTACTGTAACTTTCATGTCTTATAATTCGAAAAGTACTTCATGAAAAATTATTTTATTATAGTGTTTTGAATTAAATGAAAACAAATCGAAAGCAATGACGGATTTTGGAAGATTATCGACACATATTTTCCTCGAGAATCTCATAAGCCTGGTGATTGTAAACGTATCTTGACCCGACCCGAAATTCTTGAGCCATTAGATTCTGAAATCAAAAGTAGTCCCATTTAAAAAAATCGATGTGACCTTGATCTGACCTTGGCGACATCAATGACGACGCCCTGAAAGTCCAACTGATAAAATCAGTAAATAAATCTTTTTAAACTCTATAACTTTTGTCTGAAACACTTTTTTGTAAAATCTATATTTTCTGAGATATTCAGATATCTCGACTTTTTTGGGACATCCTGTATATGGATTATTATAGGGCTATGATGGAACTATCCATAATTTTGGATTTTAAAATCCTGGTAGTCTAAAGGTTCTATGTGAATATTATATATTAATACTATTTCTATGTGAATTTATACACATGTTTAATTCTATAAACTGCGCGGCGAAATTCTTTTCAGTCTTGAAATATATAGTAAGATGTTTATGAACATCTTACCATTAATAATATAGGATTTCTCTCGTTTTCATCATTGCAAAATTCGTATTATATCTTGTTTATCATGCCTCTTCTTGAAACGTTCACTTACTAGATTGATTATTGCGACAATATTGCCATAGCTTCGATGGACAAATTGATATGACGTTCATCTCGGAAAGACGGGAGTTCCAAGTTCAACTTCTGGCTAATACAATATTTTTCATAATAAAATTATTCAAGATATTAAGATTTTCTTTAACATTCTACCATTAATATTCTTATAAAAATGCTAATTTTTAGCATTAAAGCATTAAAAAATTGCTTGTTAGTGATATGATTCTGGTTCATGAATGTGATTCAAAATCAAAAAAAATTTCAGCGTGCAGTTTGCAGAATTAGATATGTATACAAATTCACCCAGAAATATTTAAGCATTAAGATCTACTTTGGTCGAATTTTTCTTATTTAATTAGATATATAGAAATAATTATTTTTAAAATTTTAATTCTTAAACTCATTAAATAAAAAATTTATTTATTTATTTAATGATAATATACTTATTTAATGATAAATAACATGATAATTATATACACATATACATTCATCAGTAATAAAACGGATACAAAGGATATCAATGTAACATTGGACAATTAATCTACTTACAGAGTTAGAAATTCCCTGATTGACGGTTGAAGGCGTTAAATGAATCAGCAGATGTCGCTCCGGTTGGACTGTGTTTTGTATGGTAGATGGAGGTCTGGGAGGCAAAGGCGGCGGAGAGAGACTTTGCATGGATAAGGATTTGCGTGACGGCAGTGGGGGTGGCATGTCTGCGCCACTGCCACTGCTTGAGAGTGGACAATAACCCGAGGAACACGAAGTATTTGTTACCAATGAGCAAAGCTGCAAGACACAACAAAAAGTTGCTGTTACCAAAGAGGCAAAGTTATAAAACACAACAATGTGTTAGCAAAAATAGGCGAAAGCTTTGATGCATTTATGATAAATCGAATTATACAGTTTGTTATTTCTAATGGAAGAGAGAAAAAATTCTGAATGTAATAAGTTGAAAAAATAAAATTTCCTTTCCATAATAATAAACAAACATCGGGAAATTGTTAAAATTTATTTATTTATATATTTATTTGTTATTATTTATTTATTTATTTATTTATTTATTTTATGTTAAAGGACGCACTCTAATCTTATGGAAAATATCTTTCTGCGAATTTAGCTAATTTTTGAATATATGTTCTCTTCATTCTAAACAAATATCTCAATAGGTACAACTTGATCCTAGAGCATTTCTACGCTACAAGCCTTGAAAGATCCAGATTTTACATGATTACTTTGAGACATTTGTTCAAAATGAAGAGAACTACAACATATCCAAAAATTAGCCAAATCCGCAGAAAGACAGTTTTCATAAGATTATTAATGCGGGGATAGTAGTTTATATAGAAAAAAATTTAAAGTATATTTCTATCAAAGTATATTTCTTATAGAACAAAAATAATAACAAATTATTAAATAACTTGCATAAAAATTGTCAAATTGACTTACATAAAAATTATTAAATGACTTGCACAATTTGATATGTGATTTTATTTTGAGCTTGTGCATGCATACATTTCAAGAAAAATAATTCGGCGCACGGTTTGGAATAAAAAATGTATAAATTCACATTAAATAAGAAAGTATTTAAGATCTGTTTCGACCGAAAATAGGAATTACACTTAATTAAAATTAAAAATTAATAAGAAAAAATGAAGGTGATTTTGAAATGTCTCCAATGCCTGTATAATACATAAAATAATTGTTTTTCTTTGATATGATGTCCCCCTTTGTGTTGAGCACATTGATATAAACTATTATAATAATTATTATTCATATAGCTTCAAATTTCGCTAATATGACTTTTTTGTGACATTTAAAATTTTTTTATAAAAGAGATTAATGTTATCTTGAAATTCTGATCAGAAATCATGAATGCATGTTCAATATACATAAAATGCATTTTTCTTATTTCAAAATTTCTCACTTTGCAAACATATATCATAGAATTATCATAGAATACAAAATTTTTTCAAGACAACAAATTTATATTTATATATTTTTACTAAGTATGTAATTATAGATAAATATACACAGTCTAATTTATT